GAGAGAGAGAGAGAGAGAGAGAGAGATTGATGCAACATAACGCATTTCAAGTCTTAATAGACTGCGGGATGTTGGATAAATTTCAACTTTCGCGTCCTGTGTCCTGCGTCTTCATTTCATTACTCAATATAATATATTATCATGAAGCATGATAAATAATATAAGTAAATTAGTAAAATTAATAGCTATTAATGGATTATTAATGAATTGAGAAAAAACCGAAAAAATAAAAAAGAAATCATTTATATAAATAGTAAAATAAATATATTACCCTTTTCATGTTTATTGCGTAATCTAAACTTTACGTATTCGTCACAACAGATCTTGTATAGATTTTCCACATCTCCACCCCTTTGTTTTGTTACTACCTCAAGCACTGTAATTAGAACACAATTAATTGTTTTTTCGCTTTTTTAATTATTAGATATTTTTAAAGTATTTTAATTTTTAAAGAGAGTAAAATAAAGAATTCGGCAACTATTTTAAAATGTATTTATTATAATTTAGATACCCATATAGCACAGATCTTCAAGGGATGTTTTACAGAACGTTTTGAAAACATCCCAACGTTTTGAGAATGTTCTTAGGAAGATCTCTGGGATAAAGTTTGCTGTATAGATATGACTGAATAGATTTTTGAATAATACGCACTTTTTACGGAAAACTGGATCAAATATTTTATTATAAAAATAATATTACTATTATATATATAAATATAATATATATCTATATATATGTATATACAGAAATATTCATATTTCTTATTTTTATGCTTATTCAAATATTAAAATATTAAATGTAAAAATAACAGTCTATCTATTTTCCAAAATTAATTGCGAAATGTATCTTTTTAATACAAAATTATAAAATTTACTTGCAAGATTAATAAGAACTAATTTTAAAATTATAAAAAAATAAAAAAATGCGTACAATATTCTATTCTATATTAATTTTCCTAATTCTCCTAGCTTCTCGTAATTTATTTAACAAATAGAATCAATAGAGTCAATCTTACCAAATTCAATTATGTTATAGAAGTTGGGACACGTAAACCCGGCAATGCTGTACGTGTTTAAGATTTCGTCCTTTGGACCGCAATACATACATTTGCCTTGGTTAAGTACGATAATGTTATCGAAGAGCGAAATCATCTGACTGCTGGGTTGATGTATTATACAAATCACAGTGCAATTCGCTCTTGCCATATCATGCAGTATATTAATAAGCTATTTAATGCAAATCATACGTTTCAATATAGCACATTAAGAACTTAATATTAAAGTTGAATTCAAAACAATACATTATAACATCCTAGCTACGTTATAACATATTGCTAAAATGTTCTGAGCATTTGTATAAAATAATTAATTTATATAAAAAAGAAGAGATAAATATCGATTAATTTATACATCAAGTAACTTATATCGGATAATATCAAATAACACATTAAAAGAGAATGTTAAAAAGAGACTGACTTCTGCCCATAAAAGGTTTAACCAAAAAAAATGTTTTTATAGATTTTAACTTGCTGGATACGATAAATTATAAAGTTATTAAAAAGTTTTTGGGGGCGATTGGAGAACACCTTGAAAATTGAACAAAAACATTGACATTTAGATCCCATATTCGTGCTCAATTCTTCAAGGTGTTTCCCATATCTTTCTCGAACTTTTTATCATATTATTATATTCAGGAAGTCTCTTAAAATATATTTAAAAAAACATCCCTTTTACTTATACTCTTTTAGGCAGAAGTACCCTTTTTGTCATCCTATTTTATAAAACGATTGTTATTAATATATAGTTGCATTATGACAATCTTGTGTTTCGCGGGTTTTCTCCGTGTTCAAATCCATTCTTGGAATGCCAACGTTTCGTGAACCTTGCAGTCCACTTCATCAGGGCGAAGAGCAGCCTGATACTAAGCTGTTCTCCCGGGTCGTTCCCTTTATATTACCCTCACTGGAAAAACTGAATCACACA